CTTGCAACATCTGTAGTTCTGGAGGATAATATCAAGGCAACCTTGTATGTGTGCCTGTGGTGTCCTCTCTCCTATCAGTTTTGTTGCCAATGGCGCTTATTATCTGTTCAGATTTCCAACAGGTTATTGCGAATTTTTAATCCTCTATTTGTTTGTCTTTGCAGGCATGTGGTTTCACTTGCGTATCCTCTGTAAGTTAATCCAATAACCTTTTAGATAAACATATCGACGCTAACTGTCTTCCATTTGATAGTTATTGTTTTTGTTTTACCTCAGTGGACGTTTTCCACAGGTATGCCTCTGTTACAGCAATTGAAACAAAATCTGTGGTGGATGATCAACAATGGCTCACGTACTAGGTGCTGTACTCATTTTAGCTTTAGTTTTATGTGCACATTTCATCTTACCTTGATTTCTTTCCTATTGACCATCTCTGGTTTAGTACTGCACTTCATCATTAACTGTTATCTCATGATTTGGCTGATAAGATTCTTGGATAAATCATGAGATGAATGGAAATGCCCATCACAGGCATAACGTTTGCACTTTGCAAGCTCCCTTTCTGGTCTTACACAAAACTGTTTTTCAATTGCTGGTTAGTATTGCCACAGTTCAATGGAGCTGCACATGTATATGAGTATTTTGTGAACATCTGGTAATTTTCAAAGAAGGATGAATCAAGTAGGCCTGATGATGTACTTTCTGCTGCACAGAGATACATTGAGCAAAATGGATCAAAAGCTTTTGACAATGTTGTTAACAAGGTATTATCTGTTTCCTCTTAAATTTTACCATTCTCATTTGTTCAAATGAATAATGAAATGTTGTTTCAGAACACGTAAATGCTTGGCATAGTAGTATAGTGTTGAGACATAATTCAGATGTTAGTATGTTATATATATGTCTTTGTACTATATTGTATGGCTGAGTAGTATAGGAGTTTAACCATCATATTTCTTTCCAGAGCATTTTTATAATTTCCAAAGAGGCACGATGCTACCACATGATACAACCAGGATAGGTTGCAGTCATAGAAAAACCAAATAGGTACGAAGAAAGAGTGCATGGACGAAAAATGTTAGGGGATTGTCTCACGTTGTTTTTGCATATTTATCTGTTCCCTGTTTTGTTATATTAATCTTTTGTTCTCTGCATCTATTTTGCAAGCACTTAACATTTTTCACTCTAAGTAAATGTCATAAAAGTTCTATTTCTGAAATTTGACATTGCATGATCTGAAATCCTAAACTTTCATTTCTGTATTTTAGCAATTTTATGGTTTATGATATAGAAATTTTTGCGCAATTCTGTGATCTTAACCTCCATGCCTGAATTTTACTAATATCATGATCTGCCGGTAAAGTTTCTCCTCATTTTGAATATGGACATACTTAATCTAAAATGTAATGTTACCATGTGACCGCCCAATTTACATTGGTAGCGTACTCAGAAATTTATCACATAATACTACACAAACTATGAGATTCCTTGATCAAGTTTTCTTTGCCCAATATGGTAATACTTTGACTGAATTTTGAGTGCAAAAAAATTCAAGCACACAGAGACATATTGCAGCATTCTACATATCTATTTGTCTACATATTTTTTCATCACTTATATCATGTTTCACATTCCTCATCCTTTAACTTCTAAAGTGCTTTCATAATCTTAGATTTTATTGGAGTTGCAGGCTAATAAGTTTATTCGAGAACCTATCCATGTTTAAGGCATAAAATTTACGATATCTCCTTGCTGGTCCCCTTGTCTCTGAGCTTGCTTTTAAACATAGCTTTGGACAGATCATAGCTTTCTCCATTTATATCAGTAAGACGTATAGATGATTCAAATCTCATTTGTTGAATAAATGCATTTTTGTCCATGAGATTGTAAATGACTTGTACAGAATTACTTTATATCTGTTGTTTAGAATCTGACTTGGTAAACCTTCAATGACATTTCATCTGCGTCCTGCCGATGTGCCACGCCGTGACAATGATCGTTGCATTGTGTCCTGGTGTTATCTTCGTACACTGACAGCCAACTTGAACTGTAATTATGGATTTAACTATACTCCTGATTTAATTCTAACCTCCAATTATGGAAGCCCTTTGTAGCATCCTTTGCTTTACAATATATTTAGCTGTATAAGAGATCTAAGTGACATCTATTTTATTTCACCAAGATTATTTCTGAAGCATGGTTCACAGATAAAACGCTATCGGACAATCTTCACTTAAATTCGATCATATATGCGATATGACTCATCTCAGCTTGTTATATATGGTTACTTTGTAGCTCCTATATGTCAAAAATTTTGGAGCTCATGTCTCTTAGTCCAAATCGATTGCCAAGACACATCAAAGGAGAACTCAAACTTAAACCATTTCATTGTCCTCATTGTCTGGTCACTCCAAGAAGGGCGCGGCAAAGCCGCGCCTGGTTTTCTAGTGTTTTAGTAACGACAAGTCTGGAACTAAATTTCTAGAAAGTAACCATTTTGATCGCGCTAGAGCTTTTGGTGCGACTTGTAGCTGAAACAAAAAAACTAGTTGATTCTTACAGCTGAACTATTGGAATATTGGATCCTCTGGAAGCACAAAAAATTACGTCGTGTTCAATGCCAATATGCCATGCACCATCCACTGGTCCTTTTAATGCTTGGTCTTGTTTAGATTACAAATTTTTTAAATCTGGACACTGTAGCACGTTTCATTTCTATTTGACAAATTTTGTCCGATCATGTACTAACTAGGCTCAAAAGATTCGTCTCGTGATTTACAACCAAACTGTGTAATTAGTTATTTTTTTACCTATATTTAATGCTCCATGCATACGTCCAAAATTTGATGTGATGAAGAGAGAGTGAAAAAACTTGAAATTTTGAGACAATCTAAAGAAGGCCCTGCTTGCACGAATACATACAGCGCATTTGTGGAAGTTTCGTCTCTGGGAGGCTGATCATTTCGTCTCTGGGAGCACAACAGAGGGCTTGCTGTCAAACAAGGCAGGGCCGTGTTTAGTTGGAGGCCGATTCGGCGCCGCCGGATTCGGCGACACTGTTTATGCACTGTAGCGTTTTGTTTTTATTTGGTAATAATTGTCCAATCGTTGACTAATTAGGCTCAAAACGTTCGTCTCGTAGAGTACAACAAAACTGTGCAATTAGTTTTTGATTTCGTCAACATTTAGTACTCCATGCATATACCGCAAGTTTGATGTGACGGGAAATCTTCTTTTTGCATAGTGCCAAATTCTAGAAAATGGGGGAACTAAACATGGCCCAGGTCGAGGTTCGGTTGGGTTTGGGGGGCGTTTAGTTCACCCGAATCGGTGGCGGCTGAAATACTGTAGCATTTTATTTTTATTTGATAATAATTGTCAGATCATTGACTAATTAGACTTAAAACGTTTGTCTCGCAAAGTACAACCAAACTGTACAATTAGTTTTTGATTTTGTCAACATTTAGTACTCCATGTACGTACCGTAAATTTGATGTGACGGAAAATTTTCTTTTTGCATAGTCAAAGTTGGGAGTTGAGAGTGAACTAAACATGCCGGTTTGGTAGCGCGAGTGCGCGACCCTCCGTCCACGTCATCAGCAGCCGGTAGCGGCCTGCCTCGACGACCGCTCCAGTCGACGTCGATTTGGGTGTGGTTGGTCCGGCCGGCCGGCCGTCGTGATCAGCGAGCTAATCGACGACGATGATTTTTTGGTAGAATCATTCATTCATTTATTTATTTCACCAACCCCCTCCGTAGTCTGTACCTGGCGCGCATACCTACCACGCGACCCAATGAAAAAGAAAAAGAAATGCGGTAATTTATAGTAATTGCCTTTTTTCTGTAGGAGTACTCGTAGAGACCAGTGAGATAAGAGTGGAAGCAAAAGAGGCAGAAAAGTGTAGATATGGAGGAGCGTGGGTCCCGCCCACCGAGCTGCCGCTCGCTGTTCTGTAGTGACAGGGACACTGGCCACTGCGCGTGAGGCGGGTGACTGACTGGGGAGGAGGCCTTTGAGCTGCCACTGCCAGCCCGTCCCCACCTCCACCCCTATTAAATGCCCTCTTTGACCTCACCCGTCGTTTTCTTCGGCCGGTTGGTTGCTTCCCCTTCCTTCCTCTCTGCTCTGCTCTGGTCTGGCGTCGCGGCGGCCTTGCTGCTGGCGCCGGCGGTGGTTGGAGGCTTGGAGCAACCGAGCAACGGCATCATCAGCTGCTGGCGTCGGCGTCTGGCGAGGCGACCGAAATCAATGGCGGGGAGGTGACGTCTTTTCCCCCCGCTGCACTAGTCCGGCGGCCGCGTCCTCCTCCTCGCGGCTCCGATCCTCCGTCCCCCCTGAGCGGTGCGCGTGCCAGCGACAACCTGCCGTCAGCCGGCCGGAAGGGGGGACAGTACGTCTGCTCTTGCCGGGAGCCGTCCAGCAGGCAAGTTCCCCCCACTCTCTTCTTTCCGTTCCATCTTGCTTTGGGAGTTTGCTTGGGGCCATGGTCATCGCCCCCCGGCCCTCTTGTTTTCCACGACCTCGGGGCCAAGGATTAGGACCTGCTGTTCGTGTTTGCGCCCATCGATTTTGTACAATCTTTGGAGTCTTGCTACGAACTAGGGTTAGATTGTGACGCCCTTCAGCTGAGACTGGGGTTGGGAGTGATTATTCATTCCATCGGTTGGTCTAAATTCGGAGCACTTTCTTGTTTTGTTTTTTCATTCATTCACAGTCCTCGGGGCTTACTACGTCATCCGTCTTGTTCTCCATCGATTTCATTTTTTTTTCGAGTCAAAAGTTCTACAGCGATTGATTTTGATTCCTCGTTACTTGTTGTGTTAGGCAGGAGGGCTGTTCAACTCCAGTGATTGATTGAATTCCTTCGCGAGGCCAAGAAAGAAATTGGGGGATTTCATTTCCTCGCTGGCCTAACCGGCAGCAGCTTTTTCGCGAGGTTCTCGGCTTGATTTCCTCCTCCTGCTGAGGACCGGCCGGTGCTTGTGCCTCGGACGGAGCATGCGTCGCGTCCGAGTGTCCTCCCAGCAGGCCCCCGTCCACAAGCTCGGCGACGCCCAGATGAAGCTCACGCCCAGGTTCCGCCTCGCCGCCACCTCCGCTCCGCCGTCGCCGTCGCCGGCCTCAGACCCGGAACAGCAGCAGCAGCAGGAGCCATCCTCGTGGGAGGAGGAGGCGCCGCTGATCCCGGGCCTGCCCGACGACGCCGCGCTCAACTGCCTGCTCCGCCTGCCCGTGTCGGCCCACGACGCGTGCAGGCTGGTGTGCCGCCGCTGGCGCGTTCTCCTCGCCGACAAGGCCCGGTTCTTCGCGCAGCGGAGGCAGCTGGGCATCCGGACGCCCTGGCTCTTCACGCTGGCGTTCCACCGCTGCACGGGCAAGATCCAGTGGAAGGTGCTGGACCTGGGCCACCTCACCTGGCACGCCATCCCGGCCATGCCGTGCCGCGACAGGGCCTGCCCACGCGGGTTCGGCTGCGTCGCCATCCCCAGCGCCGGCGCGCTCCTCGTCTGCGGCGGCCTCGTCTCCGACATGGACTGTCCGCTGCACCTCGTGCTCAAGTATGACATTTATAAAAACAGGTGGACCGTCATGACACGGATGCTCACTGCCCGGTCCTTCTTCGCCGGCGGCGTGATTGATGGCCGGGTTTATGTCGCTGGAGGGTATAGCGCGGACCAGTTTGAGCTCAATTCAGCTGAGGTTCTTGATCCTGAGAAGGGTGTTTGGCAGCCCATTGCTAGTATGGGGATGAACATGGCGTCGTCCGACTCTGCGGTCATCGGCGGTAGGCTCTATGTCACCGAAGGATGTGCTTGGCCGTTCTTCTCGTCACCGAGAGGCCAAGTGTATGACCCGAAAGTCGACCGGTGGGAGGCGATGCCAGTTGGAATGCGTGAAGGGTGGACGGGGCTAAGCGTGGTCATTGAGGGGCGCCTGTTTGTGATTTCAGAGTATGAGAGGATGAAGGTTAAGATCTATGATCCGGAGACGGATTCATGGGACTCGGTCAGCGGCCCTCCGATGCCCGAGCGGATTATGAAGCCCTTCTCGGTCAGTTGTCTCGACAGCAAGATCGTCGTCGTTGGACGAGGTCTCCACGTCGTGATTGGCCATGTTCAGAAGGAACCTGCTGTCGATCCAGATAGTAGGGGTTCGGGCTACTCCATTCACTGGCAAGATGTGGACGTCCCTAAGGAATTCAGCGATCTGACACCTTCAAGCAGCCAGATTCTGCATGCTTAGCTGCTCGTTGAGCGAGCCATTGGTAATCAGCGGATGTGGATGCCCCTTTGAGCTGCACAATTGGTGTGTTCTGCACAGTAGGATGTTTTCCAGTCAGATCTCTATGTATTAATACTATCTGGAGTTGTTTTAGATGTAAAGAAATAATAAATTGAGGTTCTTCAAATCGGAGAGACAAACTCATCAGACCTTGTTGTAAGTAGATGCTTGTCAGATTCTTGAACAAAACTGTTGCTCTATTTCGCTCTCTGGTCTTTCATTGATCAGAACTGTTGTTGAATGCACCCTGCCAAGTGTTCCTTGCTTTGTTGAACAAGCTGACAGCATAAAGTTTGTAAACTGTTCTTCCTTTGTGCATTGTAAGACTGTGCTTATTGATATGTGCTATAAGAAGTACGTACTTGTTCTGTCACTCTGCATGTGCAACAACGCTTTGCATTGCTTTGCTTCCTCACGCGAAGTGGCAACAGGTTTCTGAAAACTTTGAGCTTGCAAAATTTCTTTTTGTATGTAGTAGTATCTATTCAGATGCCTTTTAGCCAGATAAAGTTGGATTGTGTATTTGTGTTACTTTCCAAAGCGTCAGTCAGAGAGAGAGGAGGAGCAGAGATTCGATCATCATCATGCTTTTTACTATTTTTTTTCCATGCGAAACAAAATGCTTATCATGTTATCCATACTGACATGACCCCAGATGGAGTTGGAGACGTGGAGTGTAGCCATCCAAGAACCAGAGATAGTACAAAAAACTCCAATCCAGATGGCCCTCTTGTGGTCCGTGGGGACTGGAGAGCATCAAGTCATACAGAAGAGAACAGGATGCCTTCTTGATTCCTTGAAGGAGTATCTCAACTTGCACGGCAATGATTTACCAATCGCTAGCTTACCACATCATGCTGTAATAAACGATCTTTTCTTCTTTTATTATTTTGCTGATGGAACGGGAACTCAAAAGGTACTACAAATATCTAAATGAGAGGTAAATGACCGTGCGCTGCAACGGGAACACATAATAACACGATAATATATGTATGAGCGTGTGTTATACTGTTATCTAAAATAGATACCGCAATCATAATGTTCCAATCAATATTACATAAGTTTTCACGAAAGATAGATAGTTAAAATATAACTCTAAATTTGAATGCAAAACTAAAACATCAACTTTAATTGTCGCATCACTTTATGCCTACGATACGCGAAAGATAAGCTTGCACTTCTTTAGAAATCAAGTGTTACGGAAAGATAATCATAATAAGTTTGTATTTCATAATACATGTTTTAGAATCTATTCTACAATTAAGAATCTAATCTCTCAATAGTTCGACTAAGAGAACGTACTTTGCACGAATACCAAGCTGCAGTTGGTCACCAATCAATGTAAACCCCTCTTCTAGAACTCACAAGTTGTGTCCATGCGTTGCTACGGGACAGCTAAACTTTTATACTAAAAACATAAAGATCGCACGATAAAATAAAAATACTATAAAATTAAATACGTTAAAATGATATTTAATCTAAAAGGCAAAGTTCATAAAATTAACACAGTCACGGAGAGCGCGACGTCGCAGGCTCACCAACTCTACTGTATACACATTTCCGTGCGTCACAGTGGCGACAAATAATGCCATGATAATTTAAGCATGAACATGTTGTATTGTTAAAAAAAACGATAATGTGAGCGTGATGCTCGGAATGTCAATATTACAAATTGAATTTTGTGCATGGCTAAACTTCTTATTGATGGTTTGCAATCATCGAGGTATGCATTTATAGTTTTGTTGATTTGTACATACGCACTAAAAAGTTCATATCACCATAACAAGATTAATTGATTACTTAACTTTTTAGAACTAACCATCTCTTAGAACACTTCAACCAAAAATGCTTAGTGACAGATTTACAACCGTCATGTGTCAAACAAGAAAAATATCTCATGTTACCACTTCCATTATATCACTATTTTTCTATCCTCCAAATTCACTACAACATCTCCTATAACTTCCTATTAGATCACCAAAAGTAATTGCAACTCTATTTTTAGCATCCACAACTTTGAACCGTTGTCCTAACCCAACAATCTCATCTTTGGAAAGCTATCCCATTGGCCTTGAACTGAGTGCCAAATTATGCCATTTATGAACAGACTTGTCCAAGCATTAAAAAAAACTTGATCCTTTATATTGAATGCCACAAGTCTGCTAACAGACACAATCACGCACACCACTTTCAATACAGATTGTTGTACCTTTTCGGTATAATTTACAAATCTAAAATAGATTACAAGTGAGAATATGCTGACTCAGACACACTAAAGTCTAAAATAGAGTTCAGTGCCAATTAATCATAGAATTGCTATTTTCAATAACACTTTGATAGGTTTTTAATTTTTCTGTGTTTCCTAAATGTAGAGACCATAAGATTTTGGTTATCAAGAATAAAGGGTAAGCAGCTGCATGCCATACCTGATCCAACCATACTGTTCATTTGCAAGTGATTTGGCCCCCAACCTTATATGCTGATCATGCCATTTGCTCAAGGTGTCGCTTTCGCTGGAGCTCAACAACCTAAAAGAAAACAGAAGAAATACATGAGCCAATAGTGTTAGAACATGCACAGGTGGAAGGAAAGTCCATGTATATATTCACCCAAATTGGTTTGCTTAGGAATACATGTATCAGCACAAATGAAATTAGAATTGAGTGCCAATTTAACTCGACTCAAACAAAGAACCATAATCACCATCTGAGTATTGTCACACTTTCAAAATAGGGATAAGCCACAAACAAATATCAAAACAACAATGGCTAGATTGTAAGCCTGTAAACAAAAAAAAATCATAACAATGGCTAGCTATTTCTTGAATCAATGCACTTTCGAGCAAATCGGAGAAACCTAACTTCTTAACCACCTTCCGAAACTTGCACCATTGAATAATAATGTTTGTGGCTTCTTGATATGTTTTTAGGGATCCTTTATTATAAATCCCAAGTAATTTTTGTCCACGTACGACAACAGTCACATCTCAGCTGTTAATATCATGAATTTTTGAACAATAGTCATATACAGTTTGAAAAGGATGATTCCACCTTCCTTTTTCAGAGTATAGTGCACATATGTATTTTTATTATGACATTTGAGTGTACACATTAAAGAGCATACTTATAAGTACTCCTATTTTTATACGGTTCCTGCATTAGAAAGTACACTTTGCCCTTATACTGAACCAAAGAACAACCTTTGCCCTTCAAATACCAAAGTAATAAGTACTTAATGCCTAGATTTCTAGTACCAATAGTGATAACTGCAGGCACAACTGTTGTCCAACCAAACAAGACATTGGCATGACTATTTCGTAATTAGAGCCTGATTCATAACGCATATTAACAGACTACAGTAAATGAATAATCCAAATGGGAAGGACCGAGAGAAGGTGGACAAGGTAAAATGAAGCAAGAGCAGCGGGCTCACCAAGGCTTGCGCTGTTGCGCTCGAGAAACTAGGCTGCGCTCACCACCGCCTTCAAAACACAAATAGAAACCTATTAATGTACTATCAAAAGTCTAGTGAGCAAAAATACACCTGAGTACCTTTTTATTGATTTTTCATCACTAAAGAAACAAACATCCTCAGGACACAAGGCTCACTTATTTAGAATTATGCAAATGGGCTGAATGAAGGCTCAGTTGCAACAACGTGATATGCTGGAATTTGGTTGCAGATGCTTCCTGAGTTAATATTATTTGTTGAAATAGGTAGCTAGGTAGCTGTCAAAATAAGATTGTTGAGCGAGCACCAAACCCCAATCCCAACGGAGAGAAAGGGAGCTTAGTTTTTTTTATGAACTGGAAGCTGTTGGCCGTGGCAAGAAACAGAACAAAAATTGGTTAAGCCGTTATTTTGTTGCAGAACATCGAAGGGACAATATGAATATATTCTATTTTGTAGACACCATTTGGTCACAAATAATCTGAAGCACAATGAATATAAACTGCAACTTTTCCTAGAAATTATTTATGTATGAAATCCGTATAGTTTCTAATTGAACAATGCAAATGAATACATAAGTACTTGATTAATTATAACAGCTGAGGACAAGCATATCACACATATTTTATCGAATAGATTGTTAGCACTGAGGTATCCACAAATGAAGTCGACTTACCTTCATAGAGATCCCGCTCGGATGGTTCTACTTGGCTACTCTGTGTCTCATGCTTCTTCATCAGTGTGCTGTATACAAATGCAATGCGAGCATGCGGTTGGCTCCCCATTTACATGAACCCTGAAGCTGCTTATAACAAAAGGCTTGTCATCACCGTGTGTTGCTATACAGCAGAAAGAGCTAGAAAAAAAATCAAGGAATAGCCCTACTTCCTTCGCCTAGGTGCTATTATCAGTAAGGGCTAAGAACTCAAATATTCAACATCTTATTTGTACAGCTCTCTGGGTGGCTTCTAAAGCAAGTAGAAATTCCTACGGCTAAAGGAAGGAGTCCATGCCTCCATGGAGGCTGATAACCCAGATCAGAGAAAGTAATACCTGAGCGACCTCCGTGAGGGCACCGGCGACGCGGACCTCACCCTGGCCCTGCCAGCGGACCCCGGCTCCATGGGCTTCTGGCGCCACCGCACGCTGCCAGTACCGTGACCCGAGGCGGCGGTGGAGTAGCTGAGGGTCTACGCGAGGTCAAGGATGCCGAGTTCCTGCATCCGCTCCATGTTCTCCTGGATCCTCGCGGCCCACTCAAGCTCGTAGTCCCCAATCACCTCTGCCTCAGCCGCTACTAGCGGGGACTCCGGGCTGCCCGATGGCTGGTCGAGGGCAGGGTTCTTCGGCAGCCGGCCCCGCCGTCTTGGGGCCGGAGCAGCATGTGCAGGAGGCGTGCACACGGTAGCGGTAGCCAGCAGGATTGGAACCGCACGTCCTCCAGGCGGCACGGAGCAGCATGGGTAGGAGGCGTACCACGAGGTCCTCTAGTCCCTCTCGCGATAGGCGGC